GAGGATCTCTGGAGATAGGCGGAGGGCAGAATTGGCACTCCCCACAAGTAGGTGCTTACTGAGTTTCTACCACTAGCATTGTGGGCGCTTCCCTTGCTCAGACCTTGAGTTTCTTTAATTCTTTCCATAATTGTTCGGTGTGCACCTGCCGTGTGCTGAGACTAGCATGAAGAATGGGGGCGGGGTGCTCCCTGCCCTCTTGGCACCTGCTTTCTTAAGGGGAGCAGAGATTCTAGACAAGGAACCAAACACAACTACACATACAGTTTGTAGTTAGGTATGGGAAGGAAGAGATAATGGGTATAAGGAGAGAATCTCGTGTGTGTGTGTGTGTGTGTGTGTGTGTGTATGTGTGTGTGTGTGGTTTGTTTGTGTGTATGTGTGAGAGAAAGAGAGTGAGAAACTTAAGGGAATCCAGGAGGGCCTCTCTGGGGTGGTGGCATTTAAGCCAAAGCCGGAAAGCATAGGGGTGAGACCCAACTATGCAGACGTTGGGCTGTGAGCACCCCAGGCACAAGGAACAACCTCTGCAGTGCCCCTGGGAAGGAGTGGAGCTCAGTGTGGGAAGGGCAGAGAGGAGCCCAGCCCCTGTGTGGCTTTGGGTCCTGGCCAAGAAGGATGGGCACCGAGTGACAGTGCAGGGAGCTCCCCAACTGGGCTGGTCTCTTTCTGGCACTTAGACCCTCGTATCCTAGGGGAGTCTGCACACCCTGTTGTTGGCATTGTGCCCAGGGATCTTTGAAGTTCGGAGAGTGCTAGTGGGTGGGAGGCTGATGAATGCCAGGCTTCGGCTCTGGCCTGGCCTGGTAACACTCACCTCCCAGCTGCGCCCCTGCTATCTGCCTCACAGGCCTGGAGCCAGGCTATTGGGGTGCAGTGGCCTTGGGCAAATTGTAACCCTTTCTGTGCCTTAGTTTTTTCATCTGTAAAATGGGGACAATAAACACTGTCTACCCCATATAGTACACTTTTTAAAATTGTGGTAACATGGGTTTAAAACCGTTTATAAGGGTTTCAGGAGTATAACCTTGTAACTGACATCCATGCATACCACCCGATAGTCACTTAAAATCTAGCTTCCACCACCCCATAAAATTGACCCCCTTTACCCAATTAACCCCCGCCTCTCCCCCAACTTCCCTCTGTAACCACCACTGTTCTCATAAACTAAGAGGTGTTTTTATTTATTTATTTATTTATCAAAAAAAAAAAAAGATTTATTTATTTATTTATACAAGCACTGGGTACAGTCAGAAGTGCGGGAGAATGAGAGAATTCACCAGAGCTAGAGTGGGGAACAGAACAGGCAGACTGACGAAATACACTGCTGAGGGGAGCAGCGGGCGCGGCAGGAGAGGTCTGCACACCATGTGGGACCCTCGCCTGGCGGCCAGGGATCTAACCAGCGTTGCAGAGGCTGTGGGCAGCTTCACAGCCCAGCGCTTAACCGCTGTGCCACCAGGGGAGGCCCGAGGTGTTCTTATTTAAAGTTTGTTTTGTTTCTTTATCTTACACATGAGTGAAATCACACACTATTTGTCTTTTTCCATCTGACTTATTTCACTTAGCATAATAGTTATTAGCATATTATTATATTAGCATGATAGTTATTAGCATAATAGTTATATTATATTAGCATAATAGTTTCCTCCATGTTGCAGGTGCCAGGATCTCATCTTTTTATAGCAAGGTAGACCAATGGGTCTTAAATTAGGATGCAGTGGGTCTAGGAAAGGACTTAGGGCAGTAATAGACTCACAGCCGTCGTCTGCAAGCATCCTGTGCCTGCATTGTCACTGGTCCGTGGGCAGCAGAGAGGGCAGGGGCACGTCTGGAGCTGAACTGCTGGGTTTGCATCTTGGTTCCTCCGTTGCGCAGCTTCTTAGCTGCTCTGTGCCTCAATCTCCTCATCCACAAAAGGGGGGCAATAATTTCAGTGCTCAGGATTGTTTGAGACTCAAATGACTTAGTTTATGCAAAGTTTACATAAAGAACAGTGCCTGGCATAGAGCAAGTGTGATGAAAGTATTTGCTGCTTCTGCTTCTTTTATTGTTGTTATGTTTTCCAGAGTGGAAAGACTGAGCATTTAGGCTTGTTTGGTTCCTAGTGTCTAGATGAGTTCTTGGAGATACACCAGGGGAGGCAGTTTACCTGAGTCTGGCCTCCTGGGGTTGAGTCCTGGAATCCTTTGCTGCCAGTCCTGGGGAGCAGGTGGATGGCAGGGGTGGCCCCAAGAGTGCCTGAAGACACCCCAGAGGCCACCCCTTTGCAGATGGAGGGTTCCTAGATTGAGTCCCTTAGGGGCAGTGGGCGAGGACATTGCTGACACCAGGAGTGCACGGCCATAGGGCACGGGCCACAGAGTGGCAGGGGGCCCTGGCTCTCCTTGGCACATTCCAGGCTCCTGAGAGGGTGGCCAGGGGCCAGGGTGCCGGAGGGAAGGAGAGAGCCTTTTAAGGAAACATTTCTCTGCTTAAAAAAAAGAGAGAGACAAGAAGCTCTGAAACACAACAAAGTTGGTGGGCTGGCCAGCTGGCCAGCCTGGAATGTGCAGCTGTGGGTGGCGGGTGGAGGAGGCCGCTGGGGGGCAGCAGGCCACGAGGGCACCCAGGCATCAGCCCCTCTGGCTGGGGTCCACAACTCTCCTCAGATCTAATACCTAGGGGCTGTCTCTGCCTCAGGAGGGGACAAGGAAGGGATCTGGGGTCGGGACGTTTGGGCCCAATTCTTTCCACTGCCTTAGGTGGTTCTGGGGGAGCAGCCCTCCCCTTGTCTCTGGGGACACCTGCACTGCCTCATGTGCGTCTAGAACCTGCTCCCTCCCTTCTTCAGTCACCCTCAGTCCACCCCCAGTCCACCCTCAGTCATGGTGGGGAACCTAGGGGGGCTGGAGGAACTGATGCAGCTGGGCAGTGGGGTGGCTAGCTGACAGCACCCCCCTGCTCTTGCCGCCTGCGCCCACATCCAGGTTCCCACTTCTGCCTCAGGCCCAGCTCCGAAGGAAGGAGCAGGGCAGAGTGCTGTCCTGTGGGTTGCACCCACTCCCACACAGGACCTAGGGGCCAGGAGTGCTAGTGCTGAGGAGAGCACCCTGAGGGTCTGGCTGTGGGCTTTAGAGGAGGGTTTGGAGCTGTGCAGGGCTGGAGGAGATGGGCAGGAGGCCACGGCTAGATGGGGTGCTCTGAGGGTGCCTGGCAGGGACAGCAGCGTCCCCTATGGTGAGACGTTGTTGAGCTGTCAGGGCCGGTAGGGGACCCTGCAGGCTCAGCCACCTCTGGGGCCTTCTCTTCCCTCCTGATCAGTTCTGGTGCTCTTCACCCCACCCCGGGGCTTCTCCCCACAGAGACATCTAAAATAGTTGTTCATGACCCATGCATGTGCGTATCAAGAACCCTAAACTTTGGGATCACCTTCCGCTTCCTCATTCTTCGCAAAGTGGGGTTTGATAATCCTGGCTACCTGTCAGCTGTGTGTCCCCGGGCAAGTTGGCCAACCTATCTGTGCCCCTGCACCTCAGCCAGAGTATGCTAGTTCTTACCTTACTGGGTTGTTGACAGGATTCAATGAGTTAAAAGGTAAAAGGTCCGTAATGACGCCTGTGGCATAAAACACATGCAGGAAGTGTTGGGTATTGTCTTCTTTTTTTGTGGCCTTACCTGTGATTCTCCCAACAGCATGTTGTGTGGACAGTAGGTGCTTTATCCCCTTGTGGGAGAAGGCTTGGGGCAGGAGCCTAGAGCCTGACTGGGTCAGGGATTGCTGGCTCCCAGCCTCGCCTTCTCTTCTTGAGTTGGGGCACCCCTCACGCAGGTGTCGTCCCCTCTGGGCTGGTGTGTGGAGCCTGGGGACCCTTGGGGTCAGGTGGAGGACGTGGCTGTGGGTGGCCTCTGTGACAGCTGCCCCAGTCTGGCTGCAGGCTATTGCTGCCACAGCTCCACTGAGGGGTGGGGATGGCCAGGACAGGGGTGGGGGCTGCCCACTGTCCCAGGAGGCAGCCGCACCCTCTTTGGCCATCGCTTTGGTCATCTGTGGCTTGTGCTCAGACACCCTCGTGCTTGGGGAGAGCCTGCCCTTCTCCCCTCTGTGGGCCCCCGGCCTGGTGCTCAGGTGGGGAATTGGAGCCAAGAGTGAGGTATGAGCTCCAAGAAAAACGTGTCCTGGCTAGAAAAAAGGAGCACATTGAGTCTCTGATAAAGGCCCTGCTAATTGTCGGGGTAGTGGTTTGGCTCCCCTGCCTGGTGGGGTGGAGGGAGGACCTTATCTCAGCACCCGGAGCGATCCAGCCCTCCCTCCTCTGTGTCTGGAGGCCCAGGTTGCCCTCCATGTCCCCCCCACCAGCCCTCTCCTGGGAGGTGAAGATGAGGGTGATGACTAAAGCACCCGTGGAGGGTGCTGTTGTCTTTCAAGGCCTTGGGCTTTATTAGGGCCGCTGCCTCCTGGCTTTGGAAGGGCTGGCAGCGGCCTTCACAGGCCTGTTTCCCCACTGGGTCTGGGAAACTCAGCCAGCTGTCTGCAGCGCTGACCTTTGGGTGAGATACCTTGGCTTGGGGGAGAACAGAGGAGGTGACTGAGGTGACTTTTCCTTTTCTAGAGATCTTAAACACTTAAAAAAAAAAAAAAACCAAACAGACAAACACAAGACAAATCTGACTGTATTGTAGAAAATTTTGGAAATGAGCAAAGAAAAAAAAAATCGTTATCTGTGCTACCCGGCCCACTGTTAGTAAATCCTGGTGTATGGATTCCCAGGTCTTTCAGTGTCTACGTTTGTTTTTATGGAATTTAAGATGTGATGTATGTTTCATTTTTGCCTTCTGTGCCCTCCTTCAGCATTAGTGCCTGAGCATTTTTCCGCGTTGCTACATAGTCTTCCAGTGAACTCTCAGGAGGAGGGGGTCAGCATTTGAATTGAGAAGGGGAGTCTGGCATGGCGGTGTGACTGGAATGGTCTGTGGGGATGGAAGATGCTAACCTTGCCCTTTCTCTGTTCCTCCCACAGGTGGCTGCCCCCTGCATTCCTCCATCCAGCCATGAACTGGTGGTGAGTGACAGTCATTCCCTGTGCTGCCAACCACCCCCCCCCCCCCCCCCCGCCCCGGCTCAGCTCCCAGCTGCAACTTACTGTTGACCCAGGCATGCTGGGAGCCTCCACCGTCCTGGGCAATTAGGTTAAGGAGAGGACGGGCCACGTCCAGAGGCTGAAGCCGGACTGGGAGGAAATGAGTCATGAGGTCCCTTCTGATGAGATGCAGGGCCTTCTTTCCAATCTTGAGACTTCAGTCCTTGGAAAAACCCATAAAAGGGCATCTCACATGTCTCTAGGCCTGGCCAGGTGCCTGGTGTCCTGGGGCTCACAGGAGCAGGGACGGCATCTCTCTTCTCCTGCCTGGTCCAAGGTCAGGTACCCCTTGACTGGAGGTGGGGTGGGAGTGGGGGATGGTGGCCTGACCCTTGGAGTTTACCTACCTGGGCAGTTGCTCACATTTGGGTGGCCTGTTCCACCTCCGAGCTCCTTGGCTGGCTGCTTCTCTGCTCTCTCACCCTGTCCTCCAGGGCCCCCTTTCTCCTCCATTCAGCTTCCAGAAGGGCATGGACAGGGGCAGGGCCCCTGCTCTAGACTGACCCCAGCTGGGTGGATCTGGAATGCTGGGAACTTTTCCTCCCTGCCCTTGCACTACCTTCTTACCCCTGGAGACAAGCAGGGCCTGGAGGCTGGAGGGAAAGGGGTCTGCCTGGTGTGCATATATGTGGTGGGTATCATGGGGGGGTCCCTGGGGAAACCAGTGGACACCTGATAGAGTTGAGAGTCTAGGGAGAAGGCAAGGGTGTCATGGGTGAGGTAGTTGCAGCACCTGCATGACTGTGTGGTGCCCTGTGCCCAGCCTGGGTCCTGGGTCAGTCCTACCCTCTTTCTGGACCTTAGTTTCCCTTTCTACAGAGTGGTGTAGAACTAGGTGCTACAGAGGCCTTCTCAGTGCTGATGGTCTCCCCTCTGTTCAAGGGCATTGATGGGGTGAAATCAAGTGTGCAAAGTGCCATGACCCTTAGACTCAAGGTGTCTGCCGCCAGCCAGGCCGACCTCTGTTCCCCAAGGCCCTGCCCAGCTGTGCCACTCCAGGTGTGGAGTGTCGTTTGCATGGCGTACAGTGGAAGATCATCTGACAGCAGTGGAGAGTGATGGGGATGGGGTCGGAGAGCAGGCCGGAGTGGGAACTGCCAGTGAGAAATCTCTGGGATTTTGGAGAGACCTGGTGACTGCAGGCAGTGAGGGCTGAGCCTAGGTCTCATCATTCCAACCCGACTGCTACCTTGCTGTGGAGAACAGAATGTTCTTGGCTGGTCTGGTGGGACTGGGGGGCGTCCAGGTTTTAGGGATCTCCATCCAGGCAGATGCCAGCCAGGAGCCTCGTGAGCTTTGTTTACATGAGGAGTGGGCAGGGGTTGGGACGAAAGGGAAATGGTTGGCATTTTCACTGAGGGGATTGCTGTTAGTCCCAAAGGTGCTCTTGCCTGAGTGAGGTACTGCAATCCATGTATCTAAGATGTGCTTCACCTGTGCCAGGGTCTTATTCTTCACAGAGATTGTGGGACTGATAGTGACACCAGGTACTGCTTCCGGGTCAGAACCTGGTCCCCCAGCAGTGGTCAAGAGCCAGGGAGTCAGGCCTCCTCCCTCTGGGTCCCAGCTTCCCAGCTGTCAGGTGCAGGGCACATTGCTTAGCCTCTCTAGGCCTCAGTTTCCCCTTTGAGAAGGGGAGCTTCTCAAAGTAACAGAACCTACCCTATAGGTTGTTAAGAGAATAAAAGAAACAAGTCACTTTATTAGATTCATTAGCAGTCAGAACACCCCAGTGGCCTTCTGCCTCACTTTTTAATGCAGGGTTCTGCCGTTTGCCTACCTAACCCTGTAGCACCGTTCCCTCTCTGCCTTCATCTCCTCCTGGAAGCTCTCTTCCTCCATCACTCTCCTCCAGCCTCCTGACTTTCTTGCTAGTCCTTGACTGTACCAGGCAGATGCTGCCTCAGGGCCTTTGCACTCCCTGTACCTTCTGCCTGGAATGTTCTTCCTATAGATTCCTGGGAAGTTCTCCCCTCCCCCTGCCCCCTGGTCTTTGCTCAGTGTCAGTATTTCCCTCTCTCCATCAGCCTATTCTCGCTTCCCTATATCACCTAGACTCACTGAACAGTTTGTTTAAGGGGTTCCCCTAGTCCAACATGCAAACTCTACGAAGTCAAGAGACTTTTATCTGTTCTGTGCATTCATGGTCACCCTCACTGTCTGTCTCATAGTAGGTGCTCAATGATCACATAGTAGGTGCTCAAAAAATGCATGTTTACTGGTGCAGATTAGGTGCTCACTGTACGGGACTGATGTTCTTGTTCCCTGCTTGTGACGGGCAGCAGGGTCTCTTAGGGTGCTGGCCTCCAGCTGGGAGCCGTGTCTCTGTCCCCGGGGAGTGGGAAAGTGGCCTAGGGAAAACCGGGAGAAAGTTTGGCTCCCCCAGAGAGCACTCAGCACCTGTTTCCTCGCGGCAGGCCAGGCTGGTGCCTTGAGCAGGTTCACAAGAGGGAGGAAAGGGCGGGTTGGATTTTTCCTTCCTTTTCTATTTGCTGCCTGCCCTTCAGCCTGCGCAGGGCTGGTCCCTGTCCCTCTGCCCCCTCCCTCTTGCTCATGCCATGTATCTGTTGATTGTGTTTCTCCCATGTCTCAGTTTGGCTCTGCTCTCCGTCCGGCCTTCTCTCCTATCTTGCTCAAATCCTAGCCCCTTGGGATTGGTACCTCTCATCCCCGGGCACAGGATGTCTGCCCAGCCCGTGGGCCTGCTGGCCAAACACATTTTCAGCCTGTGCCAGGCCAGCCAGGACAAAGTGGCTTAATCTTCAACTTGTGTTTTTGTCTTACTCAACAGATGTTGCCCAGGGCCTGTGCCAGGAGGACCCTAGGGTCACCTCCCTCCTGTGGGGTCCACTGGTGGGGGCAGGAGGGAAGGGGAATAGGGCTTGTTTGTTGCAGACACTCCTGATCCTTGGAAAGAGCTGAAGCAGCTTTTCTCAACTTCTGAAAAATAATAGTCAAAAGGAATTTCCCGAGGGTGATAGCCAAGTGGAGTGGCAACCGAGGTCGGCTGAGTGTTGAGCCCTCTGCTCGAGTGGCCTGGCCCCCAGGCGCCCTGGGCTAGGGAGAAACATGGGCAAGCCTCTTTTCCTAGCATAGGCCAGCCCCACGCCAGGTGCTGAAAGTGTCCTTGTGGAAGGAATGGAGGTGGGGCATCTGCTGGGGAATGGTAATACCAGGCTGGTCCCACCCATCAGAGCAAGAGCGAAAAGTTAACTCTTGCGGGAAACTTTGCTGAGCTTTGTTCTGAAGCTTGGCAAAAATCAACTTATTTATTCTTTGCAGCCACATTTATTCAATGTGGTGAGGGAGGTGACTCCAGCATCACAGATGAAGAACCGAGGCTTAAGGCCATCGAGCTGTTCAGAGGGGAAGCTGGCATTTCCAGTTGCCTGTCACCAGAGTCTATCCCCTTAACTATCTATAATGACACATGTCCCTCGCATTTGCAGCTGCTGGGCCATCGGGAGCCTCTGTGAATTGTTTGGTGGTCTGGGTGGGTGTGAGCCCATCCTGGGTGGGTGGGGTTGTGCAGAGGAGCAAACTGGGATTAGAAAAACTCGGCGATGGTTTGAGGTCACATAACAGTGGTGGGGTCTGCCCAAGAGTGGAGATTTGGACTTTTGCTTCCCCCGCCCCCAGAAGAACTGCTGCTGATGTAAATACCTGATATTTCTGGGTGGATTTCCCCTGGATTTGTTCTAAACAGTGCCAGCTACAAGTCCACTTCCCTAGCTTCTCTGACGGGGGGCCTGAGATTTAGAGGAGCGTCTTCCATCTATCTGTCCTCCATTCATCCTACCAACAAACATTTCCCAAGCACCTGCCTGCCTGGTGCCAGCTCCTGTTTTAATGCTAGAGCTGCAGGGTTCTTTTTAGCCATAGTGCCAGGCTTTCTTAAAGGCAGGAGGTGATGGAGAAGCACAGTCACAGGACTGAGAGGGCTGTAGACACCATCTAGTCTGATCCTGCTCTTTTTCAGGTGGGGAAATTCGGACCCAGATATTTTTTTTTACTCTTGTTTTTATTGTGGTAAAATACATATAATCTAAAATTTACCATCTTAGCCATTTTTGAGTGCCCAGTCAGTGGTATTAAGTGCTTTCCTCTCCTTGTGCACCCTTGCTGAGTCTTGTAAAACAGAGCTCTGTGCTCATTAAGCAGTAACTCCCCCAGTCCCCACGAACCACCAGTCTACTTCCTGCCTCTAAGATTTGGCTAAGTGCTTCACGTAAGTGAACTCATAGACTATTTCCCCCTTTAATGACTGGTTTTACTCACTTAGCCTAATGTCTTCAAGTTTCATCCAAATGCCCTTTTTAAGGCTAAATAGTATTCCATTGTGTGTATTCCGCCTTTTGCTTATCTACTTCATCTGTCCATAGACCCTGGCTTGCTTCCATGTTTCAGCTGTTGTGAATAATGCTGCTCTGAGCACGGGTGTATCCTATCTCTTTGAATCTCTGCTTTCAGTTCTTTTGGGCCTAGACCCAAAGCAGAATTGCTGGATTATATGGTCATTTTATTTTTCATTTGTTTTTGCGAAACCCCCATACTGTTTTCTATGGGTACCATTTTACATTCCCACCAAGTTTCTCGTTTCTCACATCCATGCCAACCCTTGTTATTTCCTGTGTTTTTGATCATAGCCGTCCTAATGGGCATGAAGTGGTGGCCCTGAGGTTTTTAAATGTCTTTCCCGAGGTGCCCAGTGTCGGCAGGCACCCAGCTTCCCCTTGCGAGGAGAGAGGGTTGTGGTGTTGACAGGGGTGGAGGGGCGTGTGCACCCTCAGCCCAGCCCTGCCCTCCTGCTCTCGGCCCAGGAGAGCCACTGGTCGTCACTTAGTGAGTTTGGACTCCAGGCCTGGCGAGTTCCATCCCAGGTCACTGAGCAGGCTGAGGGCAGTTACCTTTGAGGGATCCTG